TTTTTTTTTTTTTTTTTTTTTTTTTTTTTTAATACAAAGATGACTGGTAAGAGGATCTCAACCCTTGACTTGGTGTTGTCAGCACCACGCTCTCCAAAGTGAGCCAACTGGCCATCCCTATATAGGGATCCAAACCCATGGCCTTGGTGTTATCAGCACTACACTCTCCCAAGTGAGCCACAGGCCGGCCCTTTGCATCTAGTTAGTACTTCCTATTAATGAATGCAGTATGAAATTCCCAAATTTTTTTGTTTACTAGATTTGAATTTTCTTCTTCTAGGGAAATTAGCCGGGCTGCAGGAAAGGCTGTGCCTGGAATCATTGATGAGGAGAGCAGTGGAAACAATGCCCAGTGAGTGTGTTGTCACCTGAGGCCACCTGAAGAGTATGGATTTATCATTTTGAAATGTTTTCTATTTCCAAATGAAAAGAGTTTTTGTTTCTGATTACAAAAGTAATTCTCACCAAAAAAATAATTTGAGCAGTTCAAGAGGAAGAAAGTAGACATTATCTACTGTAAATCCATGCTTCTCCTCCTGAAGATAATCAGTCTTAACAGTATGGTTTTTAGATTTCTAGATATAGTTTTTCATATATAAAGACATAGGTAGGTACCTTATCTTTTTTAATGACTGGATTAAATTGGACTTATTCTTTTTTTTTTTTTTGTCTTTTTCGTGATGGGTAAGGGGATCGCAACCCTTGGTATGGTGTCACCCACACCGCACTCAGCCAGCGAGCACACTCACTGGCCAGTCCTATATAGGATCCGAACCCGTGGCGGGAGCGTCACTATGCTCCCAGCGCCGCACTCTCCCTAGTGCGCCACGGGCGCGGCCCATAAATTGGACTTATTCTAATTTATCTAATCAGTCTCCTATTAGACATTTAGGTAGTTTATAATATTTTGCTTTAATAATACCACCTGTGGGTTGGTTGGTTAACTCAGTTGGTTAAAATGTGGTGTTATAACACCAAGGTCAAGGGTTTAGATCCCCATACCAGCCAGCCACCCAAAAAAAACCACCTAACATTTATTGAGCACTTACTGTGTGACAGGCATGTATTACCTCATTTAATGCTCACAACAGCCCTAGAAGGTTAGAGCTGAGAATACAGAGAGGTATGTGCCCAAATTCACATGACTACCAGGTGTCAGAACTTATATTCAAACCCAGGCAGTCCACTCCCGAGCCTGTACTCTTAACTTCTATAATTGTTGTTATAAACAATTTTACATTTGTTATTATAAACAAAGCGCAAATGAATGTCTTTGAACGTATAAATTTTGTGTTCTTGTGCTAATATTTTAGTAGGATAGATTCTTTGCATTGGAATTTCTGGGTTAAAGGTCATCCAACTTGCCAGTGTGATGCACCTTCAGGCAGGTGGTAGCACTTCCAGTCCATAGGAACATGCCCCTTTTTTCCTTTCTTGCCAGCAGGGAATATTCTAATAAAAATGGTATTTTTTCTTTTAATTTGTATTTCTTTGATTATTAGTGCATGGGATGGTCTCCAAAGTCTATTTATTGGCTGATGGTATTTCTTCTGTGAACTTCCTGGTCACTGCTTTTTGGCCTTTTTTTTTTTTTTTCCTATTTTAGAATTTTATTTATTTTTATTTTTTATTTTGTTGTTTTATTATTTATTTATTTATTATTTTTAAATTTTTGGCCTTCCCTGTGCCCCCGATTGATGGTTTGTTTTCTTATTTGTTTGCATGTGTTGCAAATATTTTTCCCAGTTTACCTTTTTACTTTGGGGTATTTTGCCGCACAGAAGTTGACATTTGTATGTAGTTAAAGCATGTTACAAAGTTCCAGTAATTCAGATAATATGATACTAGTGCAGAAATAATGAAAATAATAATTAATAAAAAAAACAATGTGGAATATAGTCAGACCCAAAACATATATAGTAGAGGATGGGGATTATTAGTGTATCTTAAAAGTGGCATTTCAAGTGATTGGAGGTGGGTGCCATCATTTTTGCTGACAATTTGGAGAAACATTTCCATTTTCAAACTATACCCCCAAAAATATTCCAGATGGATAAAAATTTAAACATTAAAAATGAAAGCATAGGGCTGAGCCCGTGGCGCACTCGGGAGAGTGCGGAGCTGGGAGCGCAGCAGCGCTCCCGCCGCAGGTTCGGATCCTATATAGGGATGACTGGTGTGCTCGCAGCGCTCACTGGCTGAGCGCGGTGTGGCCAGTCTCAAAAAGGACAAAAAATAAATAAATAAATAAAAATAAATAAATAAAATTAAATTAAAAAATGAAAGCATAAAAGTACTAAGAAAATATAGGTGAGTATTTTATAATCTTACAGTAGGGAAGCGCTTTCTTAGTATGAAACCAAGGTAAAGTCCTAAAGTGGAAAAATGTATGCAACATATATGATAAGAGTTAACATTTTTGACATTCAAGAATCGATCTAACTCTTTAGCTTGTGTCTGCTCACCCAGTTGGTGTAAGTAAAAGAACTGTGCACTTGGAATTAAAAGGAGTTAGAAGTTCTTGATTCCATCTCTTACTTGCAGGGTAACCCAAGGCAGAGTAACTCTTAGTTTCTCTTTCCATGTCCATGTAGTGGGAACAATATTAATCTTACAAAGTTGTTGGTAAATTCTAGTGAAGTGATAACTTGTGAAAGTGCTTTGTAAGGTATAAAGCATAGTACCCTGCCTGTTGTGGCATTACGACTTTGTAGTTAATTGCAGTGAAGACAAATGTCTGGTTGTTCATTTCCTGGGAAATCCTGGTAGGCTTTGAGGTGTGGAAACTGGTCAACTTCACGCTTTGAAATATCTTGGCCTGTTGGAGTCTCACATTCTCATTTAGCCTCATTTATTATCAAGTCCCTTCTCCCTTGTTTCACTCTGCTGTAGCCACACTGACTTAGTTTCAATTCCTTAAATAGGCTAAACTCATTCTCACTTTAGGGGCTTTGTATAAGCTGTTCCCTCTTCCAAGAATGCTCTTTCCCAAACTTTTCACCCAACTAATTTGGGGATGGGTATTTGTCTCACTTTAAAGTCTTATCAAAATTTCAGTCTGATTGATTTGTTAGTAGTAATAAAAGAAATTGAGGAGTGTAAATAGTAGCTGATAGTTCATATAATGCAAGTACTCATTCTCCTTTTCCCCTTAAGAATCATCTCCCTTGAGTGCATTTGGAGAAACAGTGGGGGAGGGATGTGCATTCACATCTGTATGACTATTTCTCCCACTTACCCTTTCTTCCTGCATGGGCAACTGCCCGTTTCCTTCTGCTCCTGGCCTGGAATTCATGGGCAACGCTCCTCTTTACTGGGATACTGCTGGGGTAAGGGTGGAAGAGGGACAGCAGAGAATGTGGGGCAGGTACCACTTCTTGCCCGTGGTCATATGACCAGACGAGACTTTACTGGAGGGATGGGGAAAACTAACACTAGAGGGATATAATTTTAAACTTAAGCAAAAAAGAATTTTCTCATGGTCTAGAAGAAAACGGAAATTAAAATCTTTATAGGATACTTCTCATGGGTGCTTCCTCTGTGTACCCCCGAAGTTTCTAACCGTATGTTTTGGTCGTGTGTGTGTGTGTGTGTGTGTATGTGTGTCTGTTTTTCTTAATTTTTAGTGGCTGGCTGGTACAAGGATTGAACCCTTGATCTTTTTTTTTTTTTAAAGATGACCGGTAAGGGGATCTTAACCCTTGACTTGGTGTTGTCAGCACCACGCTCAGCCAGTGAGCGAACCGGCCATCCCTATGTGGGATCCGAACCCGGGGCCTTGGTGTTATTAGCACCGCACTCTACCGAGTGAGCCACGGGCCGGCCCAAACCCTTGATCTTGAATCCTTGAACCACACTGTAACCAGCTGAGCTAACCAGCCAGCCCTTATGTTCTGGTCTTAAGATCTGTTTCTCCCCGTTTTGAGAAGACTTCCTTCCAACAGCTACTTTGCAGAGCTTTGTCTTTCTTTCAGTAAAACCCTAGCCCCTCCAACATGGGTTGGCCTCACCCAGGATCTGCACCACACCCCACTGAACCCCTTATCCCACACCCTCTTCAGGAGTTTTTTGCACCAACTCAGACCAACTGACTCTAGATACTCTAAATCTTTGTTAGGACAGTGGAGAGTAGAGGAGGGAATCCAAGGCAGATCTATGTAGAAGTATACAATATGGTGTATATATATGCCTCTATTTGTGTAAGCATTCAGCTGGTAACATACCCTTCCAATTACAGACATTAATTCTTAGAGATAGCACCAGCCAAATCCATAGAAAAGGAAAATATTTACCTCTAAGGCATTATTATGCAGAGCAGGCTCATGAATAGTTCTAGTTCAGTTCTTAGATGAGGCCCTATCTTTTTCCTCCCCATCCTAGGGGCTACTTTAATTCTTCCAGTTACAATCATTTACACTTTGCTGGTAATTTACTTTTGTATTTGTTAAAATGCTTTATTAAACTTGTAGCTACAATTGCCCCAATTTTTGAGTTAGGAAACCAAAGCTTAGAAGAAATTTTGTGTTTGATGTTACTTTGGCATTGCTCAAGAAACACGGAGATTATTTTCAGAATTTTTTAATTCATTTTGTGAAAATCTGAATGTATTTCTTTAATTCCTTACAGGGCTCTCACCTTTGTCTATCCCTTTGGTGCCACACTGAGTGTCATGAAACCAGCAGTGGCTGTTCTGTCCACAGGCTCTGTCTGCTTCCCACTTAACAGACCCATTCTGGCTTTCTATCACTCGAAGGTACAGCCTTTCTTACGTTTGAATGTATATGTTATTTTTATTATTAAAACAATAAAAACTACCTTACCATTTCAAGAAAGGTTTATATGTTTTCTCATTGATCTTCACTCCAGTCCTGCAAAGTAATGTTTCAGTTGTCTACATATTACTTATGGTGAAACAGTGGATTGCCCAGTAACTGATGGCATCCATTACTGGCCTTTTTGTATATTTCTGACTGCTTTGATGCATACGTTGACAGTTTGAGCAACAATGTGTGAAAGAACTTATTTCACTGAAACCTGACCAACTCTGTTTATAGTCATTTTTAATGTTCATTAATCTGGTAGGCAAAAATACTTTGTTTTGATTGGTTAAAAATTGAAAATTTTCGGGCCGGCCCGGTGGCACACTGGATAGTGCGCCGCTTGGGAAGCACGGCGGCGCTCCCGCCCGAGGGTTCGGATCCCACATACAGACCGGTTCCCGCTCACTGGCTGAGCGAGGCGCGGGAGCGACACCAAGGGTTGCGATCCCATTGCCGGTCCCCGGTCCGGTACAGGGGCAACACTGAGGGTTGCGATCCGTTGCCGGACACGGAAAAAGACAAAAAAAAAATTGAAAATTGAAAATTTTCTTATTAACCAGTTACTTCTTTTGTAGATTTTTCATGCTTGTGGCTTAATTTTCTGTTTGGATCTTAGTTAAACACTGTTTTTTGGTACTCATAAATGTTTTTAATTCTGTATGGATTCTCTTTGGATTTATCTTTTTTTCCTTTAAGATCATGCTCTTTATCTATAACGTAACTAACAATGGGAAAATGCTGTGGAACCAATTTTTGTTACTTTTTGTTAAAGTCAGATAGAAGAATATAGAAGTGTCTAAAATGAGAAGCAGGTTAAAGCGTAATTGTTATTATAGTTGATATTTCTAGACTGTTTAAAATCCCTATGTGAACTGGCACTTATTAGTATGTAAGACAGTTGCTATTATGATTCTGGTGATAAGCATTTTGGGACTAGGATACATGCAATGCATTTTGGGATCTGAGTATCTGACACTGCTTTGTCATCAGTAGAACCAAGGTGGGAAGCTGGCAGTGCTTGGCTCATGTCACATGTTTAGTGACCAATATTTGGATAAAGAAGAAAACAGTAAAATCATGGTAAGCTTTTCTCTTTCATCACATTAATGTATAATGTATAAGTATGATTTCCACATCATTTTAAAAAATACTGATAAGTTTATTTACTCATTTAAAACCAGCTATTCAGAACCCGTTATATGCCAGGCACTAAGAATATAAAGTTTTGTCTTGTTTTGGCCACCCCAATTTTTTATTATATATAGCACATACATGGTTTAGTCCTTAAAGCTGATGAAACAATGTCCTTGGTAGGGAGTTTGTGGAAATAATTCAGATATAATTATATTACGGGTCAACTAAAAATGATCTGTAAAAGCGTGTGAGATCTTCTACCTCCCTAAACCATTTCTAGGTATTATATTTGTGATTATTTCATTAAAAGAAATTCTTTGACTTCTCTTGCTAACACATTATCGTGTTTAATAACCATTAACTACTGTTCAGAAATGCTTCTGTTAATCTTTTAAATTTAGGTCTGTTGTATCTCAGTTAAAGATCATCTCCTAATCTTTTTAAGAATATAAAGTTGAGTCAGGCATAGCCCCTGCTTTGAAAAGTTTATAGTGCACACAGAGAGAGAGAGGGAGAGAGAGAGAGAGAGAGACAGGTTAATAAATCTAGAGGGATGTTTCTAAGCATGCCATGTTTGGTGGGAGCTGACCCTGGAGAAGTAGTGAGAAGCAAGCTCAACAAGGGCCTCTCATATAAAGCCAAGGAGTTCGAACTTTAAGCTGAAAGCCACAGGAGGCCCGTCTAGGGTTTTCAGCAGCCTTTGATGCAGTCAGATTTGTGTTTTAGAAAGACCCCTCTGTCAGTTGTATGGAAAGTGGGAGGGAGGAGGCAGCCTAGAGCCAATTAGGAGGCGGGTGGAGGTCAGCCAGGCAGGAAGGGATGAAGACCTGAATTAAGGTAATGAAGGTGTGAATGGAGAGGAAGGGCTGACGGTATGCACGGTAGTTAGGAGGGGTTATGGATGGGACTGCTCACTGGCTGATGTGGGAATGAAGTAAAAATGCTGCAATTGTTCTGTCAGAGGGTGCAGAGGAAAAATGTCTCGTGAAGGGTGACCGAGTGGGGAAGCAGTCGGTCATCTTTACAGTGCGTGCCAGAGCTGCACATCGGTGTGGTGCCAGGGACTCACTTGCCAGAGGAAGAACCTCCTGCTGAGCTTTTCCATTAATGAAATAATTTTCTTCAGCTTTGTAATTGTATTGGGAGATTGATTAAGATCTTATATGAAGTTCCAATGTCTCTAGACACATTCTGGGAGATCTAGATATTCTACTTTTTAAGTTTTACTTTTAAGACTGTCATGACATTAAACAGAGATTGCTTCAGGATTGCGAACAAGTTTTAATAAATTTTGACTGTGGTTAGATGTTAGAGCGTTCTAAGATAAATTAAAAATTTCTGATAATAAAGGTTGCATTAGGGTGAAGAAAAGTCTTCATATGATTTCACCAAGAGAAGGCTAGCCACCCTTTTTTGAATCATTTGTTAGTCTTTTTCTCTTTATTATTTTTTTCTTGATTGATTTAATTTTCTAGTTCTGACCCTAAGTGTTCTCAGATAACCAAGTATTTAATTCCATGTTTACTTTTTTTTAATTCAGGATGTTGTTTTCCAGTGGCTCACAACAGGAGACATTCATCTAAACCAGATTGATGCTGAGGACCCAGAGGTAGGAGTTTGTGAATCATTAAAAAACTTTTAGAGCTGGCTGGTTAGCTCAGTTGGTTAGAGTACAGTGTTATAACACCAACATCAGGGGTTCAGATTCCCATACCGGCAAGCCACAAAAAAAAAAAAAAAAAACCACAAAAAAACTTTTAAGTGAAAAATGGGTCCAGCTTCTCAGCACCACTTCGAACAGTTCCAAAGGAATATATGTCTGTCTTGCCTAATCTATAAGACAGGTGGAAAGATGTGATGCTTTTGGGGGAGATGAAGGCCACGTTGTAAAAAATAATAAACAAATTATATAATCATAGAATTAATTAGGCTGGAGCCCATATATATATAAAAATTGGAATTTAAATTATGCTGTCTGGCACAAACTTTCAAAATGTTTATCTGTAGAGAATACTTCTTTCAGAAATATGAGGGATATAAAAATAATTTTTTCATGAAGAAACAAAGATCATCAGGATTTAAGTTTTAAACTATAATTTTGTTGCTTTTAGAAATAACAATTCTAAAGGCATTATGATACTATTCATAAAACAAGGGATAGTGAAACCAGCCCTGCACAGGAAGGAGTCCCTACATTCCAGGTCTGGCTCCACCACTGGCCCTTGGACCTTAAGCATGTTCTTTCTGACTTTTTTTCATCCTAGTTTTCTCATCTGTGAAATGGGGATACTAATAATACCTATGCTCTCTGTCTCACAGGATGATTGTGAGGCCTCAGTTAATATATGGGAATTTACTTACTAAACTAAAAGGTGTAAAAAGTGCTATATATATATAAGACTTTTTTTTGTAATGTTTTGTATTTATTGTATGCCAGGCACTGTATGTCATATATTTCCATGTCAATCATCTTATTTAATCCTCACACAGCTCTGGGAGGTAGCTAATCTTACTCTCAGTTTATAGATGAGGAAACTGAAATTCTGTGAGATTGTGGTGTGGTCAAATAGCAGGCAAGCGCAGTCAGAACTCGAACCCAGGTCTCCTGACTCAAAGCCTACTCATTCTACAGCTGCTTCCTTGGTTCTTAAACTCTGAAATGTCAGGAAAATGATTTCCTGGCTGTGGGGAGCAGGAGGTGGGTGAGAAGGAGATCAGAGGTGGCTGTCCACTGACTGTGTCCTCCTTCAGCTAGGGACTAGCTTCTCAGAGGCCAATTTGGGTTAGGAAACAGGAGCGCCCCATGTCTAAATTATTCCCTTATGTGGAAATGTTAAGTGTTGGATATTTTGTTTAAATTCCTCCTGAAAAATGATATGAGTCCCCGAAATAAAAGAACATGGGAGGGGCCGACCCAGTGGCGCACTGCTACAGTGCGCCGCTTGGGAGCATGGCGGCGCTCCCGCCGAGGGTTCGGATCCCACATACAGACCGGTTCCCACTCACTGGCTGAGCGAGGTGTGGGCGCAACACCGAGGGTTGCGATCCGGTGTTGCGATCCCGTTGCCGTCCCGGTCCGGTACAGGTGCGACACTGAGGGTTGTGATCCATTGCCGGACACGAAAAAAGACAAAAAAAGAAAAAAAAGAACAGGGGTACAGCAAGGAATTTGCTTTTCAGATCTCACAGGACCCAACCCTGAATGGATGGCATCTTTGGCAGCTGCCAATCCTAGTTAGTGTTGGGGTCGAGGGAGCAGCTTCAGAGGTGCCACATCTGTTCTTGTTCTGTGTGGCCACCTTGCTCCTGCTCAGTTTCTGTCATTCCTGTTTTCTAGGTAGGGAAACTGAAGTAAGTAAATTCTCCAAGGTCTCCACTTAGATTAATACTTGGCCAGGCCATTGTTAACACCGAGGTCAGGGCAGTTCTGGAGCCTGGACATTTTCTACTGCTCCGTTGTCCACTGTCCACCACACATGACACTGGATAGTTCAGAAGGAAAGCATCAATAGAAAGCTAGCGGAAGATTATAATGTAGCTAAGTCTTTCTCCAGGACCATGCATATATCTTGAGATTTGAGACCTGGTGAAAAGTGTACTTATAAGGCTTTGAAAAGTAATATGCTGGATCTAGTAACATCGGAAAGTGCGCAGTTCTGAAAAACTGAACTTACTAAATATAATTTCAGATCAAATCATGTTACATCGAATAGGTTTCAAACTCTGTTAGTAGCTCAGTTTCAAATGGTATTTAATAAAGTAGAATGGTAGCTCAATTAAAGAGCTGTAGGAATTTACATAACAAGTTTGAACCTCAAAATTTTCCAGGAACTATTGAAAGCCAGTGGTCCTGGGAACACTCTTTTATGTTTATGTCAGCACATCTGCTGTGGATTAAATGTATCCCCCAAAGATTCATGTATTGGAAACTAAATTTCCATTGTAATAGTGTTAAGAGGGTAGGAAATCCTATTATGATAATTGAAAGGTGGGACCTTTGAGAGGTGACTGGTTCCCGAGGTCTGTGCCCATGTGATGGTTTAATGGGTGGATATGGGTGTGGTTCTGATGGCTTTAAAGGGAGAGCAAGTGAGGAGGTTAGCTCTCTCTTGCTCAGCGCATTTGCCACGTGATACCCTGCATCGCCCTAGAAGGAGGCCCTCACCAGATGTGTTTTCTGAACTTGGACTTTCCAGCCTCTGAAACTGTAAGAAATAAATTTTTATTTCTTTATAAATTACCCATTTTGAAGTATTTTTTTTATAAGCAACAGCAAGGTACTAATACAACATCTAAGGTCTTGATGGAATTTTTTGAACTTGGATTTTGAAGAAGGCCTCTATGCAGAGAGATGAGAGTCAGCCTCAGACCTTTGGGACTGCTGGACCCATTACTGGTCTCTGTGTCAAGTTCTGGGGGTGTGTCCTGGCAGTCAGTGCCCTTGTTATTGCTTTTGCCTTCACCCACTGTCATGTCAGAGGGTTGATGTCTCTAAAACAGCCAAATATTGCTAGGAAGGGCATTTATTTGTTTATGTTCTTCCCTTGTTTTTTGTTTTAAAAAATAGTTTGAGGATTGGGGAGTTTTTGACCCCTGGGCTACAGAAAAAACTGAGCTGTTGACCTATTATTTCTGTAATGCTCAGGCATGTCTCCTCCAGTGCTGGAGCTAGGGAAGGTAGAAGTGTGTTGCAGGTAACTTCAGAGGACCAGCTTTTAAACTATTACTAACTTGGCCTTGTTGGCTAAATGTAGTTCAAAACACAATTAGGAATGAACTTCTTGTCAGCATGCATTTATTTAAATTTGAATTTATTTTGGGGGGTAGGTTATGCATGCATATAGTTCAGAATTCAAAAGCATACACAATGAACAGTCTTCTTTGAGCCCTGCCACTTTGCTCCCCTCCATAGTAACAATAGTCTTAATGGGTTCTTGTATATTCCTCCAGAGATATTTTATGCTTATATAAGTAAATATATGTGTGTGTACTCTCCTTCCCCCTTCTTTTACATAAATGGCACTATATACACTGTGTATATATACTGTCCATCACCATACTTTTTAAGGTTAGCAGTATTATGGAAGATTTTTCCATATTCATACATAGAGTCTTCTTTATTCTTTTTTGTTCATTTTGTTTATAAGACTATATTTTTTATTATTTAAATGTAGTATATTTAGCTAGTCTCCTATTGATGGACATTTAAGTTTTCTTGGTCCTTTATGGTTAGCAACCACGGCATGTGTCATGATCCCTCAGCAATGCTGGAGGGATGTCCTAGACTATGGAGGAGGGCTGGGATCTAGCATACAAGTGGAGGGGGCTATCTGCAGTATCATATGCTCTCACACGTCTCACAGGAAAGAAAGGAGTCCAGTCAGCTTGGTTGTGTTTCTCCAGCTATGTTCAGCTGTGTGAGAACTGGTGTCATGGGAAACTTGGATTTAGTCAGATTTGGGGTTTTGTTCCTCTTTCCACATAATGTGGCTTAGTTAAGGGTGAGTTGTCAGTGATCACGAACAGTGAAATCTCTTGACAAGAGAGTATAAATATTGTAGACTTAGACCTGAGACAGTGGAGACTTGACAGAATAAACTCTTGTGCCTACTCTGCTGAGAGGAACCCTCTTGTGACTTTCAGATTTCTGACTACACGATGCTGCCTGACACAGCCACCCTGTCAGAGCGGCTTCGAGTGTGTCTCCAGGAGGGCGACGAGAACCCGCGGGACTTTACCACCCTCTTCGACCTGTCCATTTACCAGTTGGATACCACCTCCCTCCCCAAGGTCATCAAGTCAGTACCTGTGGCTCTCTGAGCTGCACTGCATTCCATTCTAAGGGTTTGTTTTGAAAACATGAGCCTGGGGACAGGAGCTAGGCAAATGTACTATGCAAAACATGTTCTCAGATCTACGGTGAGGTCAACAAAGAAGTTGGGGTGGGGGTGCAGGTTTGATGCCGAGGAGCTGCCAGCAGTTATTAGGCCCTGTGCATTCCAGGCTCTGTATTAGACATTTAGGGTGACCAGCTTGTTTGATTTTGCCCAGGACTTTTCCTGGTTCTAGCACAGAGTCTCAAGTCCCAGGAATCCTCTCAGTAAACCGAGATGGCTGGTCACCTTACTGGCACTTCACACTGTTACTTCACTTAATACTTTCAGCAGGCCAGCCAGTGAGCTTGTTTAGAGCACAGTGTCATAACATCAGGGTCAAGGGTTTGGATCCATACCAGCCAGCCACCCGAAAAAAATATATATATATTTTCAGCAGTCCTGAGTTACTAGCCTCATTTCCAGATGAGGAAACTGAGGTTTAACGAAGGGAAGGTATTTTCCCAAGGAGGGAGCAGGGATATAAAGTCAAGGAACCCTCTCAGCTATTAGACAGACAATGCCCAGAACAGAACCTACTTAACTTTCCTCTTCCTGCATTCTTAGAGCCAGTTAACAGCATTACCAGTTGCCCAGAGCCCCAGGGAGAAATCAGTCTCTCAGCTTCGTCCATCACAGCTTCGCATGGTACATGTCCTGTGGATTCTTTCTCCCTAAACATCCTTCAAAACCACAGCTACTGCTCTTACTAGCTCCATCTTTCAACCCTCCTGATCTGCTGCAACAGTCTCCTAATAAGATTCTTCACCTCTCCTTTTCCTTATTCCAATTAATTTTACAAACTACCGCAGATTTGGGAGAAAAGGTATACAATAGGCCTCTAGGGGAAAGGGACAGGAAATGGACAAGTTTGCTTTAGAAGGATTACCTAACAATGTTAAAGGCACACCGGAATTTAGTGGTCATGGATCTAAAGTTCCACAAGCCAACATGGTCGTGTGTTTTCCTCCAACCTTGTTTAGCTATGTGGCTACGGGCAGAGTGGGCCAAGACATGGATTTAACCGTTGTGGTTTTGTCAAGCAAGTAGGACAGAGAGGAAGAGGCAAGATGCCCAGGAATTATGTAATTGCATGTGTTAGTCTAAAAGTAACTGCTATTATTATTGTGTTTTAATTAACTTGTTTTGTAAAACCTTATACATTGTACCTGCATCATATCAACTTAACTTTTACAAATATTTATTAAGCATCTACTTTTTGCCTAGATCCTGCAAATACTACCACATTTACTGTTTACAACAATTCTTAAAAGTAGAGAGTAGCTCTATTTTATCTTTTAAAGAAGCTGAGGCTTGGGGAAAGTTAGCTATTTACTAATCAGGCCCCGGTGACCACAGTTGCCCTTAGCTCGCCCCTTTACCTCCCCTTCCCTCAGTATTATTAATAATAAAGTAATATTTATTGAGAACTTATCATGTAGCAAGTACCATGTTAAGTTTTATATGTACTTTGCTTTGTCATGTAATAATCGTGATGAAGTTATTATCACCATTTTACATGTGAGGACACCAAGTCACAGAGAAATTAAGTGACTTGCTCAAGGTCACACAACTAGTTTTAATTGAAGCCCGAATTTCAATCCAGGTAATCTTAACGCTGAACCTGGGAAGAAATTATCTGGAGGTTTGTTGCTGTATGAGGTAAGGGTGCTTTTGAAAAACAGGACCAAAGCTGCCAGAGCTGCTGGGGCATCTCTGTCACCCCCTCCCACCTGTAGTCTTCTGCAAGTGACAGCCAAGGCATAAATCCTTTAGCTTCTGGCTGCATGTTTGGCTCTTTGCTTGCTTGGTTTTGAGCTCTGATGTTCTCCTCCTCTGCAGTTCAGAGCTTTTCTTAGAACCAAAGATACATCAGGCTACTCCTCTAGCCAGCTACAGTCCAACCAGCTTCTGCCGTTGTGGCCTAATTTTCTCCTAATGTGTTTAGGCCAGGCCATTATGACTGCTCTTCAGTGTTGAATAAAGGGTTGATTGGAACTGCCTATTACGTGAGTGTCAGCAGAGTCAAGTAGTGGATGTTTCAAAGGCTTAGACAACTCTTTTAATTGTCTTTGTCTTTTGTATCACAGCAGAGGGCAGTTGTTACTGGCTTCCAATGTCTGTATGGTGTACTCAGGTATTTTTATTTGCTGGTAACATATTTGAAAGCAGTTTCTCTTTTCTGAGTAAAAATTCAGTTAGGCTTTAAATATTGATGTCAATTATAGGGTATTGCTTTGAACTAACTTCCTTTGTCCTCCCGGTACGTATTGATGCCTATGGGCTGGAGGTAGAGACATACGGTGTGGAGTCCCTGCCCTCAGAGTTTGTGGTCTGCTGGGTTGGGGATTGAGACATGGGGTGGTGAAATGCAGTGCCAGAGGTCAGGCCAGAGTGCTACGGAAATACATAGCTCAGCCCCATTTCACAGATTTCTATTTGGCTTCGGCGTTTATTCTTCCCCTTATCCCATAGAGATTGGCCTTCTGAATTAGATTTGCTTCATTTTAGGATTAGTTTCTCCCCCCGCCCTTCCCACTTCCCCCAATCAAGAACATATTGGCTACTGGCAAGAGGAAGATTTGGGCAGGTGGTGAGCTGAGTGGAAGGAAGAATTTGCTCCAGTACTGTCAGCTCCCCTTGGAGACAGAAAGCAGAAATAAAATCATGGCTGGGATGGCCAAGGCCAGGGCTCAGCCCCAGGATTCTTTATATGCAGGTGGTGGGAACTTTAGCTTAAAACTGCTCCTAATGATTTTTGCTTTCGGAATAGACTGAGTTAAGGGGATTCTGGTTGGCAGGGATTGGCCAGGTCTGAGTTCTGATCTTGCTTTTGTCCCTTCTTAACCATGTGACCTTGGGAAGCTACTTAAATGTCTACCTCCATTTTCTCTTCTGTAGATACTACACCCACTTTCCAGGGTTATTTTGAGGATTAAGTGAAATAAGTTTAAGAGCCTAGCACAGGATCAGGAGAAATACGTGGCACATAGTAGGTGCTTTGTAAGTCATTTCTCTTCCCTCCCTGGGTATCTGCTCATTTGTAGGAAGGATTCTCCCCAAGCACCTGGGAATAGTGGAGGAGGTAACAGCAGAAAGCTCAGTTAGTCACCTTCCTGCAGTCACAGGCCTCACTCCTTTCTGAAATCATGCATACTTAGAAGCTGCCATGAACTCTGTCCACCCATTGGTATTTGCTTTTCCAGCTTAATTTTGGAAGGCCACAAATATGTATAAAATTTAAATTGGATGACTATATATATATATATATATATATATATATATTTTTTTTTTTTTTTTTTT